CGGGCACCACGTGGCTCCCACTCTTGGGTCATTTACTTCAAAACTTGATTTTCTTGATCCCAATGTCCTCTTCAAGTTCAACATAAATTTCAACTTCCAACTGGGCTTCCAAATAGAATTTCAACTAGAATTCGCCAAATAGATTTAGACTAGGATTCCAAAGAATATTTTAAATAGAATTTCTCTTAATTTACACTTTAATTAGAATTCCCTATTATCTTCAACAAAGAATTTGGATCACACCTAAATTCTAACAATGATAGAAAAAGAACCAACTAATTTCTATTTTTCATGGATAACACTGCTTTTACTTGGTGTTCAAAGAAGTAGCCTATTGTGACTCTTTCTACTTTTGAAGCTGAATATGTTTCTGCTGCATCATGTGTTTGTCATGCCATTTGGCTATGGAAGTTGTTGAAGATGCTTCATATGCCCAAAACGAGGCTACACCAATTTATGTTGATAACATGTTAGTTATTGCTTTGGGTAAAAATCCCATGTTCCATGATTGAAGCAAGCATATGGATACAAGATTTCCCTTCATTAGAAAGTGCATTGAGAAGAAGGAAGTGGAGCTTGCTTATGTGAAGACCAATGATCAAGTCAAAACTTTTTTATCAAGCCATTAAAGAATGATGATTTTGCAAGATTGCGTGCTTGGATTGGAGTCACCAAGAAGTAATCAAGTTTAAGAAGGGGCGTTGGAAATTAAACTTGATTCGTGAAATAATCTATTTAATATCTATGTATTTGCTTTATTCATGTATCCACAGGGTTCTATCCTACTATTCATAAAATGTAGGAGAAGTTATTAATTAGTCTATTGAATTTATAGAATATATTTGGGACTCCTTGTACTTATATAAGGCCTTGTGCTTGAGACATTTGATATAGCCAAGCCAGAGAATTTAAGTATCGTTTAAGAAATTCTTGTGTTTTCTCTCTGGCCTTTCCTCCCAAAATTATTTATTTCCAACAAAGATCAAAATTGTATAGCTTTCGAAAAATGAATATTAGCTCAGCAATTTAGCAGATCAAATAACACATGGACACAAAAAAGTACGAAATTAAATCAGACCTGTCTAGCAATAGCTAATTGAAAGATCAGGAGGATTATCTTTAATCTTTAAGGCAATAGAGGACCCGCCAAGTACTCCATCAATATGAATACACGATTATTCCTTTTTCTTTTGTTTCTAAACTCCAACCCAATTTAAACCAGTTTATTCGACTTAGTCAGTTAGACACAATAATAATAGACCTACCAATGGATTCAGTTCTTTAGCTATTCATCTCTCTCAATGTGCTCTTAAAAAGACAGATAGGATAAGGTACCTATACGTTTGAAATGTAAACTAGGAACTACAGAAAGAATACTGCTGGGAAAAGATGATGTTGTGCCCTATGCTCCACCAATCACTGCAAAAGACACAATTTTCACTAAATCTCAATCGCACAAATTATTTCTTCTTTAAGATACTCGTTTGCAATGGCTTGAAATAAATATTCTCCCATATAATTCTAGGGAACATGATGACGCTGTTGCTTAGACTATATTTGTCACTTAACAAAAGTGCACAGGGGATCCAAATAAGCCTCCAAGATACATTAGAATTGAATGAATTGTTTGTATGTATTTATGCACTCACGACAACAAATCCGAACACCAAAAACTTGATAAACCAATACAAGAGGCTTTATATTCTATTTCTGAAATATGAAAGAATATAAAGCTTGAATTTTAATGCAAAAGAATAGTGAAAATAATGAAAGAAAAATCTAGGCGGAAGAAGAGACTAGAAAGTAAAATTCTATTACTTGTCACATGTATAGTCAAAGAAAAACTGGAATCCATTTATAAATTCTTGTTATGCATTTCCCAAATGTTATAACCATTTATAGGGGTCTTTTAGATCTGAATCAGATCCAACAAAACTGAGGAAATCCGATTTGCCATGGGATCCGTTTGGCAGTGCAGGGGACCAACCAGGCGGCGTTCCTGCACTGCCATTTCATCTTTTAAATCCAATTTCCACTTATTAGAAATTAAGCGTGCATGTATATTAAAGGCTATTTTCATTGCAAGGTGTTCAAAAACAAAGGATTGATCATTGATGTAACTGAAAACTAGATCAGGAAGAGATTTAGAAAATTCGCTAGACTTAAAGAATAATCGGATCAATATCAATAGCAAAATGATTTGGTTTTTCACAAATATGAGAACTCATTTTATGACAAATCTATACAAGACAAGAAATGTGATTTTGCCATCATTATTTATGTGTAAATCAATGATTTTTTAAATTATATATGCATGCATTTAGTTCAAATGAACATATTTAATGATGATATATATTCACAATGCTCAATGCAAGCATGATGCACGCTCTGGTAGTTTTTACTTCGAAAAAGGAAGTTATTTTACCATCGAATCTATACTTGAAAAGGTAAGTGATTTTACCATCATTGTTGCATTTAAATAAAAAAAATTTATTGTTTTTACGATTTATATACATGTGAAATAAATGCAAACACATACATTTAAAGAGTGGCACACACAACACACGGATGAGGAGTTTTTTTTTTTTCTTCAATGAGACATGTTTTTTTTCAAATTATTATATATATACCCCGACGATTGGAACTTTAGTCATTCATTTCATCCCTGCATTATCATATTGATGTATAGTCACTTCAAAATACTTTTTGTATTTATTGTGAGTCGAGTGTAATATGAAGATAGTTCAAAACATTAGCATGTTCACTGGTCCACGTAATTTGGAGTGCTCTTATTGCAAGACGTAGTCATTGTATGTTGGTAGACGAGTACTCACAGGGGACATTATCATCGTAAAGAAAAGGAGTCAACTCGTGGCTCGACCGAATTCGTGTTCACACATTTCTCGTTTCCATATTTCTACTTTACGCATTTGATTTCGGTAAGTTAAAATTTTGTTCAAGTTTATGCTCGTAAAATATTAGTTATTCAAATATGATTAATGCACCCCAAAGTTTCGAACATTTTTTGCCATTCACATGCTTTCGTGCATTTTGACAGTATTGAAATTTTACTTTGTTAAGATGAAATTGGATGTTGATTGTTGGTTTTTGGCTATTTCAGATTTGCCGAAAGCCTGATATTTATGCCGCACGGTGGAGTGTTTCAAAATGTAGACGACAAATGAAAATAGAGTGCCACCACTACAACGTTAGTCGAAGTTAGATCCAATATACTATCGGGAAGTTATTCGCAAATTGAGGACATTGAACATGGATGATCGTTGGTTTGCAATGAAGTTGAAGTTCAAAGTCCCATCTATGAATCTTTCCAAAGTGCCCTACTTGATGATGAGGACCTTTGGTATATGCCAATCGACAAGGAAACTGCTCTTTGTGTGGTTTGTTGTTCTTAGAGACATTTCATCAACGTCCCAATGGTTTCATATTGACCCCAGATCGACATTTGTTTCACCCATTTTAATGATATATGAGGACCTCAAATTTTAATGATCTGTATATAATCCGTAAGGCAAGGGAGAACCAACCAAGTACTCCATCAATTTGAGTGCAAAATCCTCTGCAGGGCTCATCTCCGATTTTTCCCTTTTTGCAAGCCATTTTATACCTGTGTATTCAACTTAGTACAGCTGGACGCAAAAAAAATAGACCTACCTATGGATTCAATGCCTTTTCTATCCATCTCTCTCCACGTGTTCTTAAAAAGACAACGAGGTAGGATGTCTGTATGTTTGAATCGTAAGTTAGGAACTTCTGAAAGGATTAGCCAAAGAAAAAGTGGATGTCGTGCCCATACGTCTCCACCAATCAAAGGAGAAGACTTACAAATGTTACTCTTCATGAATGATTTCGGCCGCACTCTGATTCTCATTCTTTTTTGCTGGTGGAAGATCCATAAATAGAGTGAATCTAGAACTGCACTTAAGGGTTGGCTAGATATTTGAATATCCTCGAATTAGGCTTTTGACTGAGCTATAATAATTTTTATATAGTTACAAATACTATTTAAGCAAAACTTGACATTGGGCTAACTGCCCCTGAATAAGGTAGATGTAGTAGGTTAGACTTTAGGGCTACAGAACAAACGCTCATACTGTTTCTATCTAATTTCTATTGAAGTAGAGGACAACGAAAGAGACGAATTCAAAGTCAAGGCGTATAAACAATTTTAAGATGGAATTCTATAGTCCCCTATAGATAATAATTTTTTCTCCAAATAAAAAATGACCCATTTCATCTTTTAAATCCAGTTTCCCCTTATAAGAAATGGCACATGCTAGTATGAATAATATAAACTGTTTCAATTGCAAGATGTAACAGCATCATTTGTTATCGATGAGGTAGAACCTAAGTCAACAATAAAGGATTGGTTATTGATGTAATTGAAAACTAGAGCAGCAAGAGAATAAGGAAATTTGATAGACTTAACAGAATAATCAAATATATACCAGAAATCAATAGGAAAATAATTTGGTTTTCCACAAATTTAAGAAGTCATTTTAACATCAAATCTATACTAGGCAAGTGATGTTACCATCATTAATTACATGTAAAAGAAAGGTATTTTGCTAAAATTTATATACACGTGGATTTAATGCACACACACATATTTAAAGAGTGGCACGCATGATGCACAGTGCAGGCACGGCACACGCACATGGAGTCTGCAGGAAGAACTAACAATGATGTCAACATTTTTTGGAGAAGTGGAAAGAAGAGGCTGGCAAGGAGTTTGCAGATGACTCCATGATCATCAAGCAAACACGTCGAGGCCTCAGGTGTGCATGCTCCCTCTTTCGAGGTAAGAAGTTTATTTAGTTTCTTGAGTAGTACTTGCCCCTATCTGTCAAGGGACTTGTGCACATTGGTCTAGGGGCATTTGACTCCTTCAAAGACAAAAGACAACTGATTCGTGATTTTCTATATTGCACACACTTTCATATCATTAAGTGACTTTTATGGGACACGAGTACTGATAATCAATGGAACCATTTACCAGTAACTTCAGAATTATCATTTTCAATTTTCAGGCACTCAAGTTCACCTCAGGAAAACATATAGAGGATATGCATGAACGAGATATCAAACAACAAGAAGGAAATAAATTGACAGATTTGATATATCCAACCTCACTTAATTTTGAAGAGAGCCTGTATCAGCTCGAATTCGACCTTAATGACATGAAACTGTACAATGCATTGCAATCATCTCTCCTGGAAAGCTTCCACTATATGGAAAGAGGTGCCAGGAGCACACCCTCTTCTATAACGTCTCCGCTCGGTGTCACTGTAAGAAGAAGTCTAGGTTGAAGAGGACAATTAGAGTCCCAGCAATTAGCTCTAAAATTGTGCATATTCCAGTGGATGAGTACTCGTGGAGGAAGTATGGTCAGATGCCAATCAAGGGCTTACTTATTGGGATTATTACAAGTGCAGTATGTGAGGGGATGCCTGGCAAGAAAGCCCGTGGAGAGGGCTACATATGATACTTCGATGATGTTGATCATGACTTTTGTATGGGAGCATAGGCATATGCAAGATGCAATGCATAAGAACACAACTGGGGGGGGGGGGGGGGGG